TAACCTACCAATCCTGTCAAGTGCCTACTCAGTAGTTAAGCATCAGATCGATTTAAAAAGCCTTTTATGCTTGCCACTAAGCTTCATAAGTAAGCACGGCAATAGACCTAAAATGTGAGTGCATTAGCACTTCCTGCCGTGCCGGCGCGCTCACTAACGGTACTGCTAATAAAAAATCGATCTTTTTATGGCAAGCCTACGTTACGTCACCAAAGTGACTAATGTATTGTAACAATTTGTTTTTATACCTACGTGATTTAGGGCATTTGCATATTAGGTGGTAATTTTTGGAATACTAGTTTTTCAGTATTTTTCAACCACTTATTCCCGAAATGAAAAGTGAAATATATAGTGCTTCTTTGCAGTGCAGTTTCAGATGTCGTGAGGTCATTGTTACACAAATGACGCACATGATGCACAAATTTATTTTCCTACCAAAAGACGTAGCTTTTTCTGTTTACTTACAGTCATCATCATCATCAACAGCCTTTAATAGTCCACTGCTGGACATAGGCCTCTCTTTAGAAAGGAAGTTTTGACCTACTGATCAGACGGGTTAGTATAGGGTTTGTTTCAAGTGTTCCTTCTCTTTGCAGTGCTGTTGTCCTGCGTAGTTTGCTCCCTTAGTCGGCTCTTATGACACCCACGGGATGAATAGGGATAATCACACTCTGTAGTCTAAATCCGTCACCACACGGTATTACTTACAGTGTTACAGTGTACTAACAGTGTTGCTGGTAAATCTATATATTGTGTTTTATTTGCTAATCGAAGTTATTTGAATAAAACTACCGCTTTATGCAAGCAAAGTAATTTGCTTAAAGTACCTCACAGTTTTGCTACTTACATCACAACCAATGTACGAATACCCTTACTGTATCGCTCGTAAAATATTTACGATTTGAGCACAATTTGCTTTCATACTGTATATAGGTTATATTGCACCCCTAACTTGGCCCATAATACCCTATACGTATTCAATAATAGCCCATATCAGTGGCACACAAAAGCGCTAATGGCTTGAGAAATTTGTGTAATGTCGTTCAGTAGCTCCACTTGCTGGCTATTGATTGACGTTAGAGAATTACTGTCGGTACCTGCCTAACGCTGTCAGTATCCTGCATTAATGAAGTGTGTATGTAGCTACGTCAGTATGTGGTCAATCGAATTAGTTAACGGCTCCACTGGGCCGTACTCTGTTGTTCTTATTAAGCCAATGTTAGCCGAGATATTCTGTAGGCGAATAGTACTAATATTATTGGATGTAATCGGCTTATAGGATTAAGGGTATTTATGTATACGAAATACGGAATTAAAATAAGTTCATTTTATTAATGCCTTTGCTTATAAGTGACAATATAAGATATGTGTAAAACCAATCTTTTCGTCAAAAAATACGTCTGCATTGGACATATTTTTGTAATAGTAAGTGGTAATATGAACCTAAAAGTAAATCTTTTGGTTTTTCTTAATATCAGAAGTCACAAGCGCATTGCCGGACTTCTAGGCAGGAGTATGCTCTTTTCTTAAAGGTTTGAAATACCGCAGACTATCACTTGTTCCACAGGTTGGTGGTGCGAGGCAAAAAGTGTCTCGAAAAGCGCCAATTATCCAAGTGATGGATATAAAAATTTTGCCTTGTAGAACGATGGCGGAACGTTACGACCGGTATTAGTCCGAATAATTCCTCGTAGTACCCTCCATGATACATACGATAGAGAATGCAGAGTGAAGCTACATCTCTTGGCTATCGATTGGAGATCTTTTGGCTATCGACGATTCGAGTCGCTCTCCTTTAGATGCAGTCCAGAGGGAGGAGCTGGTACTGAGATGACCCTGCATAGATATAAGCACAGTATTCCATATGCGACCGGACTTGCGCGTTATAGAGTTAAAGCGGTAGGCAAGAGTGAAACGCCTCGATCTGTTTAGCACACTGAGCTTGGTCGAGGCTAATTTGACCTTCCCCCCCTAAATGACCCCGAAACTGGACTTAGATATATCGATACCTAGGATTCCAATACTGGCTAAGGGTATTACGTAGTTAGGGAGGTGCTCTGATACCGAGATGATACGATACGATAAACGGTGTTTTTTTCGCGGTGAACGCGTAAGCTTGTGTCTTTTTTTGGGTTAAAATGGCCTACGTTTATTCGACCCCAATCTGAAACCTCTGCTTAGGAAGTTTGAGTTTGTTTCGACTCTTGATGACATTCCGATAAATATTGGGGCGGCCGGTATAAAGGGTATATCATGTACTATCATCCGCATAGCTGCTGTTACTAGTTTGGCTACTAATTTAATTATTGATAAGCGCACTGCGCGCTTTTCGAGATTTTTTTTACCCAGCACAACCAATCTGTGGAACAAATTGTCGTCTGCGGTATTTCCAAACCGATACAACCTTCAAACTTTGATCAAAAACGCATAAGGAAGGAGTTCCTTAAGAGCCGGCTACACGCTTGTGACTCCTGATTTGCAGGCGTTGATGGAGAGCGGTAGTCACTTTCCATGAGGTGACCTGTCTGCCCGTTTACTACCTGTATCATAAAAAGCAGTATTATTTAAGCAGTAATCTGCAATAGCAAAAAAAGCAAGGCAGCTAAGACGTTATTTAAGTAACACATTACTTAAATAACTATCCTTTGGTCATATTTACATACAGTTTAAAATAAATATTTAGTTTTTTTTTATGAGTGAGGAAGGCGGAAGAGAACATGTGAATATTTATTTCTTTATTTATGACTTCATACACAAATGTGTACATCGGCGGACATAATACCTAAGGCAATCTCTGCCAGTCAACCGATTGGGCGAAGCAGACAAAGAGTGAGGTAGGTGCATTTATGGGGATAAATGATAGAGTTCTTATACAGTACTATTTGTCCTTCGAATAGACGTATACAGGCAATGACATATTATTATATTTATAGTATATATACCAGGATTAACATATTTACTTATACTAGTATATATGTACATACGTACACATATACATATATATAATCATATACACATATACGCTCATAGATACAATTATAAAAATATTATAACTGTGGGTGATGAATTAAGAGCCCGTTGATTCTAGCAACTCACTCAGCAACAGCTCCTTTACCTTCATCTTGAAGGAGTAACGGTTTGTAACCATCCTGACTTCGACAGGAAGCGCATTCCACAGGAGGATAGACTAAACAGAGAACCAACAAACCCGGTAGTGTGAGACCGGACAAAGTAGAAATAGATTGTTAGAAGAACGAAGGTTTCTGTTATGGTTCTTGCATAATAGTTGATTTTGTGAAGTTAAATAAGTAGGAGGGGATGGGGCATTGAGGAAAGTATGCAAAGTTGTGGGTGCGCGCATTTTTCTGCGTTGACGAATTGGTAACCACCTAAGCTGGGAACGAAAACTAGAGACATGGTCATACTTACGAAGATTAAAGATAAATCGAATGCAGTTATTGAGAAGACGATCTAATTTGTTGAGAAGATCTGCATTCAGGTCGTAATAGCACACGTCACCATAGTCCATTAACGGGAAGATCAGAGACTGCACAAGCATTGTCTTAGTTTTCACGGGGAGAAAGTTGTCAGGCGATACAGTGTTCTGAGGATGCCGGTCACCCTCTGGCATACGTATGTAACTTGATCGCGCCAGTTCAGAGTGTAGTCGAGTTGTAAGCCCAGGTCTTTCACCATTTGACCAACAGGTGTAGCGGTACCATTCAAAATTATTTTAGGAAGCGTCTCGAAATTCACTCTGCTCATCGAACGGTGACTGCCGATAAGTATGGCCTGACACTTTGTAGGGTTAACCGATAATCCAAATCTTTCGGACCAGTTATCAATCGTTTTAAGGTCTATGTTAATATGATCGATAGCTGTTGTTATATCGTCAACGGCAGCTTTAGAACACAGCTGTAGGTCGTCAGCATACAGATGATACGCACTTCGAAGTTCAAGAGATAGGAGATTCATAAATATAGAAAAAAGCAAAGGGGAAAGTATACCGCCTTGAGGGACACCAGAGCCGACATGGCACCAACTCGAGGAGAGATCGTCAACACGAACAGACTGCTGGCGGTCCCGAAGATAAGATGAGAACCATTCCTGCGCTTCGGGCGAGATCATAAGATAGGACAAGAGAATATCGTGACTGACGGTATTAAAAGCATTTGGGAAGTCAACCAAAACTAGCACTGCCACGTTTGTGTCTTCCAATGCCACCCTGATGTCGCCAGTCACTTTGAGGAGAGCGGTGGTAGTGCTATAGCCAGGCCTAAAACCGGATTGATATGGGCTTAACAAGTCATTTTTGTACATAAAATCAGATAGCTGCTTATGTACACAGGCTTCAAGAGTTTTGGAGTGGAAGGGAAGAATTGATATGGGTCTAAAGTGGTTAGGAATTGTGGGATTTGCAATTTTAGGTAGATGAATGATGATGATGCTTTACGCCAAAGTGAGGGGAAGGTTCCGGAGTATAGCGAGTAATTGACGATATGGGAGATTGCTGGTAAAAGTTGCTCAAGGATAGTTATGATCATGCGCCTGCTAATTTGATCGCAACCCACAGCGTTGGATTTAATGGACAGGATTATCTTTTTGATCTCGCCCTGCGCAACTGGAACAAATTGAAAGGAGTTTATGTTAGGAGAATTTAGGCTTGCCAAGTAATTGACAGTAAGATTCTTGATTTGGTGATCCAAAATAGTAGACGTGGAGAATATGCCACTAGTGTGCATTTTATCAACTGATAAACGTGTTGAATTGTTGGGCGGTGTAAAGTTCTATTTGGGTTTGAAGATAAAATTCTAGGAAGTTCGGTGAATAGCACAAAGTACACAAAATAATCCCAATGGCTTAATTAAAACCAAAGATCAACGGAATTTTTACGAATAACAATTTCAAGATTTCTTCCCTACAAACTCTTATGAAATTGCTTTCAGAAGTACCACTTAAAAAAGTATTGCCCCATAATTGATTGAAATAGCAGATTGTGGATGGACTCAAAATGTATGTAAGTGTTGAGTACATTAATTTCTATTGTATTTTGATCATTAATTTTTTTACCAGCATTTGGATATTTTAAGTGATCAAAATCATGGAAAAAATATAGTATTATCGTCATAATGATATATTATGTTAAACAGGATCGACGAGCAGTTGCAGAGATAGTTCATATAAATTTAGACAGAAAACACAAATTTTCTTTGTAAGAAAATCATAAAAAAAGAACAGAACGGTACAGAATAGAATTTCCTTTATTTTTACAAAGTATCAACATACAATGGGTGGTCTGTTTGCTAAAAGCGATCTCTACCAGATAACTTATTAATGGATACGTTGAAAAAATAATCTTTTGTCTCTTAATTTGCCTCCTCAGGCACTGTTATTGTTGGATAATTGTCCTGGACATCCATCAGCAGATGATGGCAATGTTCCTGCCACCTAACACCACGGCGTGTATACAACCAATGGATCAGAACGTTATACAAAATGTGAAGTTAAATTACCGCAAATCACTTTTGGTTAACTGCATTATGTTCTAAAAACCTCATGGACTCATTAAAATCGATAACTTTAAAGGACACAGTTTACTTTTGGCTAATTGCTGGGCCAATGTTAAAACATCGCTAATTAACAAATCATGGAAGAATTTGCACCCTGAATTTCTCACTGATAATGACGAACCAGAAGATGATGTTCCTTTCCTCCAGCTTTTACCTACCTCCTCCAGCTTTTTAACAGGTTGAGGGGACCCAATGATCCTCAAATAAGTGAGGCAGAAGCTCAAGAATGGGCTGCTGGTGGTGCCGAAAGCGAGTTACAAAGATATGAAGTGTTAACTGATGAGGAGATTGTGCGAGCGGCTATGTGTGAGGACGATGAGGAAGATGAGGACAATAGCGTTGAAATTCTAAAAATCACAAAAGTTGGTAATTCAGAGGCAGTAGGAGCTTTAAACACTGTTTTAAAATGGGCTGAAGATAACGAATTTGATAGCCACGAAGTTATGTTTCTCCGTCGACTTAGAGACCGGGCTTTCGAAATGAAGTGCGAAAATTATAAACAGAAGAGTATTACAGACTTTTTCAAGAAGAATTAACTAATGTTTTATTTTAACTTACTGATTTCCTTACATAGTTGTAATTTTGAACATGTTCATTTTGTCTATATGCTATAATTTCAAAATTGATTAAAGAAACTAAGGTTAAACATGTGTTTTATTAACATTTAATATGGCATACTATAATCCGGACGCCTCGATAAACCGGAAAGGGTTTTGTTTTTGCCTCTCCGGATTAACGAGGCCCTACTGTACTTCGTTTCTTTTTTTAAAAAGACAACTCCCGCATTTGGTATATATGCCTGTGTCGCGGGGGACTTTACAAACATACATGAAACGGACACAAAGAACACCCAGACTCAGAACAACAATTTGTGGATCGCACAAAGTGTCGTCCCATGTGGGGTTTGAACCCACAACACTCGGCGTAATAGCAATGCTGCGTGGCGACCGTTTAAACCACTACACCATCCGTGCAGTCAAACTTTAACGATTAAAAGAGCAAATCTTTAATCTTCTTATACGTTCTTATTTTATACGTCACCTCCTTGCAAGTTAAGAAACAAAGTCTAAACAAATTTGCATTGTCAAAGCTTAAAAACCTTTTGCTTATCCCAAAACGTTGTGGTTCAAAAACGAAGCCTGCAAACTCGCAAATATTATACATCATTGTAAACAATATTATTCATTGAAGTCACCGATATGAAATTAGAAGGGACCGTCAAAGAGAACGGTAAAACTTTGCGATGGTATCGCCGTAAAGTTAAATTGATACATTTTTAATAAGTTCGTCAAGACCTTTACTGTTCAAAACGGATTTTGTATGTTCTGTAAGTCGGACCTCTAAATTTGTTTGCATATTGGTAATCCTTTGCCACATGAAGAGTTTAAATATGCAACAACGTTTCACTAATTTTTTATATTGACGTTTGTATTTAATCTATACAAATAAATAAAATTGGAGTGTCTGTTTGTAATATTAAAATAACCGCTTTTTACTAAATGCATATGTATGTTTACCCGGTACATATGCCAAAATAACAGTTTTTACAATTTTTGTCTGTCTATCTTTTTGTTCCGGCTAATCTCTGGAACAGCTGGACCGATTTCGACGGGACTTTCACTGGCAGATAGCTGATGACATAAGGAGTAACTTAGGATACTTTTTTTAGACTAGCTTTGCCTCGCGGCGTTGCCCGCGGTTATAACAACAAACACAGGTAACACCGCGGGTCTCAGCTAGTATTAAATAAAATGTTTCATCATCATCATCAACAGCCTTTAATAGTCCACTGCTGGACATAAGCCTCTCCTTAGAAAGGAGGTTTTGGCCTACTATACCACGCTGGCCAGACGGGTTGGTATAGGGTTTGTGTCAAGTTGGCCCAGATGAGGTACCTGGGTCTGGTCCTAGACGGTAGGTGGCTCTTCGACGAGCACTTCCGACAGCTTGGTCCGAAGCTGGTGGACACTGCCTCCGCCCTAGGGCGACTTTTGCCCAATTTGGGCGGGGCCAGTGTTCCCACGAGGCGGCTGTACGCGGGGGTTGTCCGGTCCATGGCGCTTTATGGTGCACCGGTGTGGGTGGCGGCTCTGACCGCCCCGAATAGGGCGCGCCTCTGGCGCCCCCAGAGGATATTGGCGGTCAGAGCCATACGCGGATACCGCACGGTGTCCACCGAGGTGGCTTGCGCCTTGGCCGGAACACCCCCGTGGGATTTGGAGGCGGAAGTGCTCGCCGAAGTTTATCGGCGAGTGGCTGACTTCCGGGCGGAGAGCGGATTTCGCCCTCCGCCCGAAGACGTGCGCGAGTGGCGCGAAGCCGCTCGCCGAGCCACCATGGTGAGATGGTCGTTCCGGCTGGAGACTCCACGCGCTGGCTTCGCCGCCGTGGAGGCTCTCCAGCCGGTCATCGCCGAGTGGGCAGGGCGGCAGCACGGGACCCTTTCCTTCCGGCTGACGCAGGTGCTTTCCGGGCACGGTTGCTTCGGAAAGTACCTGTACTCGGTCGCTAGGAGGGAATCGAGTCCCGCCTGCCACCACTGCGACTGCAGTGAGGATTCGGCCCAGCACACGCTGGCGGTTTGCCCCGCATGGGCGACGCAGCGCCGGGCCCTTACTGCAGTCATCGGAGCAGATCTCTCGCTACCGGCCGTAATTCGCTCCATGGCCGGTAGCGACAGTTGTTTTACCGCGGTCGCAACCTTCTGCGAGGAGGTAATCTCGCAGAAGGAGGCGGCGGAGAAGGTCCGGGAGGACGACCCCCACTCGGACCTGATCCGCCGCCGGCGAACCGGGCGGCGGAGGCGCGCTTACCTGCGCCTCATGCCGCCCTGAGTGTGGCCGCGGGTGGACGGGATGGGTTCTCCCCTCCACCCGCATTAGTTGGCCAGCCGCGAGGGGGCGGCGTCCGCGTGTGCCGGACGTCGCCTAAAGAGAGGAAAGATTAGAGACGGGGCCCGCAACAGGAGCGGGCCGGCGCTGGGAGGGGTCCAGAAGGCGATAACTACCTGGACCCCTCCTACACTGGAAGCGCAAAGAGGGCACACCGTGTGGTTTTAGTCGGTTCGAGTCCGACACACCGCCCCGCCGAACGAGAGCCCCGGCGGGGTGACGGTCCGAGGGGATTTCCACACGTAAAAAAAAAAAAAAAAAAAAAAGGGTTTGTGTCAAGTTTTCCTTCTCTCTGCAGTGCTGTTGTTCTGCGTAGTTTTCTCCCTTAGTCGTCTCTTACGACACCCACGGGATGAATAGCGGTGGTGACACTCTGTATTCTTACTCCGTCACCACACGGAAAATGTTTAAATTACAAAATTTGAGGCATATATTTTATTTATTTGAAACAGTTATTTAATATGAAAAATACTTATAGTCTTCATGTTGTTGATAGTCGGTATCGCGTTGCCTAGTCATCATTATCATCAACAGTCTAATAGTCCACTGCTGGACACAGGCATCTCCTTAGAAGGGAGGTTTTGGTCTACTATACCACGCTAGCCAGATGGATTGATATATGGTTTGTTTCAAGGTTGTTATTCTAGTGACAAAGCAAAATACAATACATTTCCATGTATTTAAATATTTTTCCTTTACTTTACACGCCCTGACAGAAATTTTCACTGACTGTTAGAAAAACAACTGGCACTAATAGTACTAAATAAATAATCGTTTTTTACATTTTCTCATGGGTGGGATAGTTTTTTTAAACTTTTAATAAGTTCACAATCCACAGGATTAATACGAAGACATGTGTCAAAGTCTGGGAAAAAAATTAAAATAAGCCTTTTTAATTTTAATTTTTTGCTCTCTGAACTACCCATTGTCACCGTAGGTACAACAAATGCAATTTATAAATTGTAAAGTTAATACAGGTTAACCTTACCTAACCTATTTGTGGCCGTGGTGCTTCCCTGTTTAAAAGGGTGTATGCCCATTTTACTTCATTTTGTCTCCCGCTTTGCTAAGGTTAACCTATGTTAACACTAAAATCCGAATGTTTTCTATAAATGTTGTGTTTGCCGATTGATATTATATGCTCATCTATATATATATATAAGAGATTGCCACGTATATAGTCACTCATCACGATATCTCTGGAACCATTAGAGGTAAAGACTTGAAATTTGGTAGGAATATTATTTTCACCGAGTAGAGGTCAGCTAAGAACAGATTTTAAGAAATAAAAAAAAATAAAAAATATATTATAATGTAAATAGCAAAACTACGTTTGCAGGGTCAGCTAGTAAGTACTTTATATAACAAGCATGTATTATTTTTAAGAAATGTGTATCGATTGTAGGCAAACCTATGAATAAATAAATAAGCTCAATACAAGCTATAAAATCGAATCAGAGAAAATGTAACTGTTTTTTAGGGTTCCGTACCTCAAAAGGTAAAAAAGGAACCCTTATAAGATCACTTTTTGTCCGTCTGTCCGTCTGTCCGTCTGTCCGTGTGTCACCAACGGTTTTCTCAGGAACCGGTAGACCTAGCAAATTGAAATTCATACCAGATACTGAGGTCTATGGTCCCTATTAGGTGTATAAAAATCAAGGTCTTGAGTCAACACGATAAAAAGATATTGCCAAATTTCGATTTTCGCGAAAACTTGTAAGTACTAAAATTTACCTTAATTTTCAATTTTTACTTGTGCAAAATTCAGAATTCTCTCTTTACTTGTGCTGTAAGACCTTGCTTTTAACCAAAATTGACAATTCAAGGTCAACCGAAAGTACCCTATAGGTTTTGGGTCGAAAACCTATTTGGTAGTTTCCGTTGACCTAGAATCACGAAATTTGGCAAAAAGAAACGTCTAACAGCACTAATAAAGGAATAATTCCAAAAAATAAAAATAGTTGAAAATTAAGATAAATTTTAGTACTTACAAATTTTCTCGAAAATCTACGTAAAATCTGGGTAGATACGGAACCCTCGGCACACGAGTTCGACTCGTGCCTGACCGGTTTTTTTCTAATTTAATATACCTATACATAATTTGTATGAATATGTCAATTGTTATTTTTCACACATCTCACACACGGCCGTCTGATCCCAAACTAGGCAGAGCCTGCACTATGGTACTAGACTGCTGATAAACATACTTATATATTTCTTAATACATACATATTATAGATAAATTACACCCAGACACAGAACAAATGACCGTGCTCATCACACAAGAATTTGTCATGGGTGGGAATCGAACCTACGACCTCTGGCGTGGCAGTCAGGATCACTAACCACTAAACCAACAATCCAGTCAATGTGAATATTTGCTGGCATAACCAACTTCTATGATATATATATATATTTGTGTAACAATTTATTCATTCGATCATCATTTCCTTTGAGTGTTAGAACGTTGGTCAATGTAAATATTGACCAAGAAAATTCAGTAAAACAGAAACGGAGATAAGTTAAAAAGTTTGAGTGACTGAAATGTGAGAACGTTAGTCTAGTTTTAATGCTAACAGTCCTTATTTATACTGTTATAATATTAATTATTCCAACGCAGATTTCTTTTAAAAAGTACATAACTA